ACCTGCACGCTTGCTCTCTACCTGCACGCTTGCTCTCTACCTGCACGCTTGCCCTCTACCTGCACGCTTGCTCTCTACCTGCACGCTTGCTCTCTACCTGCACGCTTGCTCTCTACCTGCACGCTTGCTCTCTGCCTGCACGCTTGCTCTCTGCCTGCATGCTTGCTCTCTGCCTGCACGCTTGCTCTCTGCCTGCACGCTTCCTCTCTGCCTGCACGCTTCCTCTCTACCTGCACGCTTCCTCTCTACCTGCACGCTTCCTCTCTACCTGCACGCTTGCTCTCTACCTGCACGCTTCCTCTCTACCTGCACGGTTCCTCTCTGCCTGCACGCTTGCTCTCTACCTGCACGCTTGCTCTCTACCTGCACGCTTGCTCTCTGCCTGCACGCTTGCTCTCTGCCTGCATGCTTGCTCTCTGCCTGCACGCTTGCTCTCTGCCTGCACGCTTGCTCTCTACCTGCACGCTTGCTCTCTACCTGCACGCTTCCTCTCTGCCTGCACGCTTCCTCTCTACCTGCACGCTTCCTCTCTACCTGCACGCTTCCTCTCTACCTGCACGCTTGCTCTCTACCTGCACGCTTGCTCTCTACCTGCACGCTTGCTCTCTGCCTGCACGCTTCCTCTCTACCTGCACGCTTGCTCTCTACCTGCACGCTTGCTCTCTACCTGCACGCTTGCTCTCTACCTGCACGCTTGCTCTCTACCTGCACGCTTGCTCTCTACCTGCACGCTTGCCTCTCTACCTGCACGCTTGCCTCTCTACCTGCACGCTTGCCTCTCTACCTGCACGCTTGCCTCTCTACCTGCACGCTTGCTCTTTGCCTGCACGCTTGCTCTCTACCTGCACGCTTGCTCTCTGCCTGCACGCTTGCTCTCTGCCTGCACGCTTGCTCTCTACCTGCACGCTTGCTCTCTACCTGCACGCCTGCCTCTCTACCTGCACGCCTGCCTCTCTACCTGCATGCCTGCCTCTCTACCTGCACGCCTGCCTGTCTAGCTTGACCTAGTTCTGCACTTCGCTTTTTTCTTTTCATGGCTTATAAAGCAGAGTACTTTCACGCCTTATACAGCATACCTGAACGCCTTATACAGCATACCTGCACGCCTCATACAGCGTACCTGAACGCCTTATACAGCGTACCTGGGGGGTGTAGGGTTTTGTGTTGTCTCTACCTGTACCTGATGCGATTATTTCTCTTTTCTCTTTCTTCTAGGGCGCACCTGCACGCCGGCATCAGTAGCGGAGGAGGAGACGGGGAGGTAGGGGTTGGTGTAGTCGCGGCTGCGGTGGCTCTGGAACTTGACGTTGAGGTCCGTGTGGGCTGAGAAGGAGATGCGCAGGCTGCATGCCTGCACGTGCTCCGGGAGCAGGTAGCTGGGAGGCGGAGCATAGACACACGCACATGCACAGACACACAGGGAGAGAGAGAGAGAGAGAGAGAGAGAGAGAGAGAGAGAGAGAGAGAGAGAGAGAGAGAGAGAGAGAGAGAGAGAGAGAGAGAGAGAGAGAGAGAGAGATGAGGGGAAGGTGGCTCTGGAACTTGACGTTGAGGTCCGTGTGGGCCGAGAAGGAGATGCGCAGACTGCATGTCTGCACGTGCTCTCGGAGCAGGTAGCTCGGGGGGGGGGGAGGGGGGGGGGAGAACGAAGGAGGGACCTGTGGCAGGTAGGGTATACCTGTGTCACTTTTGAGAAAATCCAAAATAATTAGTCTGTGTGACACGTAGGATATGGTTAGTGCGACAGGCAGGTGACAGGTAGGAGGCACGGATCTTGTAAAGGTGCTCTGGGAATACACACCTAGGAATGCTCCTGCCGTCCAATGAAGTCTTGGCACTGTTGGCAGTCTCTGGGTCTCCGTACTGCACCAATGCCTGCACGGGTCATGGGAAAAACGGGAACAACCAAACGTGGATCAACGCCACGCGGGTCAAAGCCACAGGGATTGATTCGACGGGACCGCCAACTGGGTTACAGGGAAGCATGGACCCAAAGCCCTCTGATTCGGACCTGACAAGACCAATCTAGACTGAATGAAAGATGTTGCTGGGCTTTAAGCCTTCTCACAGACCTGAAAACCGGCACTCTTCTCAAAGGTTGCAATCTTCTGGACGAATCCGAATGCCGAGAAGACCTGCGATTTGACGCGCAAAGGAGAGTTTGCAGCAGGATACAGAGTGGAGGAGAATGCACTTTCCAACACAGGCTGATTATGCGCACCATTCAAAGCAGTTCATACCTAGAAAGATTTTCGACGCATGGAAGCAAACACAGCTGAATGCGAATAAGAACAACGACACAAGTGCTAAAGCGGAGAAAAAACTCAAGCACACCGAGCTGTAACGAAAATTGCTTCCAAAACGTATAAATTAGCAACATTCAATCTCAGAAGCCTAGGAAAGCATGCAAAGAGAAGGCGCAAATGCATGAGCACATATGACACATAGGAAAGGTGATAATTCATCAGTGCTAAGCTGCCCAGCTACGAGTGGGCATGACGAGCGGGGGTGCAGACTCCCTGAAACCGATTAGCACAGAAACAATGGGGGTTGGGTTGAGTTGAGTTGGGTTGGGATGGGTTGGGTTGGGTTTGGGTTGGGTTGGGTTGGGTTGAGTTGAAAAGGGGGGTTGGAGAAAAGGTTAGAGAGGGTGAGAAGGGCGGGCAGGTAAGAAAAGGTTATGAGAACAAACGGTGAAATCAGAACGGATCTTGCTCGGATTCGCATCGCTCGTGCGAGGGAAGATCTGAGCCGTTCACTTCAATGAGAGGAAGATGGCCTGCACACGGAGAGGGTTTTGGTGGTTCATTAAATCCTTTGCAAAACAGAACGAACCTCGTGGGTGGGGGCATAGGTGGTCTGGTCTGGTGGAATCCCAGTAATTGCCTTAATGGAATTGGAGCGGAGCAAGCGAGGAGCCAGGAGTGGAACGATATAATCTGCACAAGGGTAATCCCATGCAAGCCTGCAATACCTAATAAGCTTGCAAGCTTGCAAGCCTATGTGAGCATCAAGCTAGCTGCTTGCCTCGCACGTTCCTCCTAACGCATGCGTGACGCGTGCACAAAACGTACCTTCAAACGAACAGGCACGCACGTACCAGGTGAAGCACGTCTATAGTCACGTCGCCAGCCTCAACCCCCTCTATAGTCACAAGCAGGACATTCCCGGAGGTGGAATCGCCAGTCTTGTTGGACGTGGTGATCTCCTGCCGCGTCGAGTACTGCAGGTACACCGCCTTCCCGCGGACCTGTGCTGGCTCGGATGACGATGCATAGTAAGACACCATGGCGATCGCCTGGTTCAAATCCGCCTGAAAATTCGGACACACGGAATGGGAGCACCAGACATTGTAAGGTACACCGCCCTCCCGCGAACCTGTGCTGGCTCGGATGATGATGAGTAGTAAGACATCATGGCGATTGCCTAATTCAAATCCGCCTGCGGTGCGGAGAAAAGGTGATGTAACAAATTGCCATTCGGAAGCAGCGAAATGACGCGGAATATTCTCAGGATACATCGGAATGCTATTAGGAAGCAGCCAATTTTATCAGGACGAAGCGGGATGCTATCAGGAAGGAGCAGCTAGATGCTTTTAGGAAGTATCAAAATGCTATCAGGTATAAGCGGAATGTTATATGCGGAAGTAGTGTCCTGGCACGCGAACGCCAAGAATCTGCATGATTAGGACAACAAAAGGATTAACCGCTTGACAAATAGCAAAGCGAAACGTAGCGCTACGAACTTACAAACTCGACAAACGCCTGGTTACGGTTGGCGCCGACGCTGGTCTTGGTGTTGACGACGCGGCCGAAGGGCTTGCAGAGCTCTGATAACTCCTCCTCCGTCGCCTCCCACGGCAGGTTGCGCACGTGCAGCACCTTGGATGGCGGTTGCGAGTAGCGGAACTGCGGCTGACCTGCCGCCATCGCCGACGCGCTCATGGCGCGATGCGGCCTACCCCGGGCCTGCGCTTGACGCGTATGGTGATGTTAGGTTGCCGGGGTTTGGTCAACGGATGTTCGCGGTTCGGTTTGCATGTGATGCGGGAAGGAAACGAGTCGATGTGAGATCGAGGAGCTTCTATGAAAGATTCTAGCTGTCAAGGTAGGTTTGTTGACCTGCAGATGGAGACTTCAGAACCAGAGGGGTGAGATGGAATCAGTGGGTGTGAGAGGAGATTACATTAGTTGCCTTAGGGGATGTTCCAGAAGTTTGACTGAGGGCTGAGTAGGTTCTTCTCGTTTCAGAACGGTCAAAACACTTTGTCAGACCTGCCCCTAGATATTGTCGAGCCAACCTTTACAACTGAACCCTGTATAAGGTCATTCACTTGTGGGACATTTTCCGAATGTCACATATTCAAATATCAATGATCTGTTTTCTCTTCGAATGCGCCGTTCTTGCTCCTTCACACTGACAGCTGCCGCAGCCTAACGGTGAGCCGCCGCTGCTGCGCATCCAACCGTGGATCAGCACTAGTCGACGCGCCGCGACCATCAACCAGATTCCTCCAGCGCGCGTAGATCACAATCAGTGTCGACCATCGACCATGGCATCGCGCCGCCTAGCTTCTCTTCTCGCGTCTGCAGCCACGCGGCACAGACCTCGCCCAATCACGAGCTGCCAGCACACCATACCAGCTGTCATTTCTCCCAACGTGACCTCCCATGGCGCTGACATGCCGTCCTTTCCCGGGAGCCCTCGGCACTACAATCTAGTCCCGATGGTCGTGGAGCAGACGCCACGTGGCGAGCGCGCATTCGACATCTTCTCCCGGCTGCTGAAGGAACGGATCGTGTGCGTGAACGGCGCAATAGGCGACGACACAGCGTCACTGGTGGTGGCTCAGTTACTCTATCTAGAATCAGAACACCCTGAGAAACCTGTAAGCGATGGTCGTTCTAGCTTTAAAGAACGTGATTCATCTAGCTGTACGTGTAAATAAACCTGTGACGAGACGCCTTATAACGCGTTTTCACCCCTCCACGCAGGTGTACATGTACATAAATTCGCCTGGCGGTCTGGTGACAGCAGGCCTTGCCATATACGACACCATGCAGGTGAGTGTGCAGGCGAGTATGCATGCGGGTGAGTGTTCAGGTGAATGCGCAGGGAGTGTGCAGGAGAGTATACAGGTGAGCACTGAGCATGCGAATGAGTGTACAGGTGAGTGTGCAGGTAAGTATGCAGGTGAGAGTTCAGGTGAGTATGCAGGTCAGTGTGGTATGGTCGACCATTCATGACCCTGTTCGCTATATGCACCCCTTTATTCCCTAGCCTCCTCCTAACAGTCCTTCAAATTCCCCCCTCCCATCCCCTCCCCTCCCCTCCCCCCCCGACCACCACCACCAGTACATCCAGTGTCCAGTGAGCACCCTCAGCGTGGGCCAAGCAGCCCCCATGGCCACACTGTTGCTCTCAGCAGGCGACTCTGGTCGTGCCTTGCACCACCTGACACCCACCGTGCTGCTCTTAGCTTGCCTCCCCTTTCTGTCCCCCCCCCACCAGTACATCCAGTGTCCAGTGAGCACCCTCTGCGTGGACCAAGCAGCCTCCATGGTCACGCTTCTGCTCGCAGCAGGGGAGGCGGGGCAGCGGCGGTCACTACCCAACGCGAGTCTCGTGGTGCATTTTCTTCTCCTCTCTCCTGCCCTACCCCACCCCCCCCACCACCACCACCAGTACATCCAGTGCCCAGTGAGCACCCTCTGCGTGGGCCAAGCAGCCTCTATGGCCACACTGCTGCTTGCAGCAGGCGAGGCGGGGCAGAGGCGCTCGCTACCCAACGCACGGCTCATGGTGCACCAGCCATCAGGGGGCGCGCAGGGGCAGGCCACTGATATCGCCATTCACGCGGAGGAGATTATCAAGACTAAGGCCCGGCTGAACGGGCTGTATGCCAAGCACACGGGGAAGGAGGTTGATGTGATTGGTGAGTGAAGGCTGTGCTGTTACCTTCTCCTTCTGTTGCCTACGCTTGTTATGACGGCACTTGCCACTTTAATGTTGCCAACTTCCCCCTTTTTTTTGTCTCTTTCCGGTGCCTGTGTCGTGTAACCTGCTTTATCTCACGTTTCAGCTGAGAGTATGGAGAGGGACCGCTTCATGAGCCCTACAGAAGCACTCTCGTTTGGGCTTATAGACGAGGTGATAGACAAAAGACCTGCAGCATTGGTCACAGATGGTGTCAAGTGATAATGGATATTGCTTACGCTTTTGAACGCGGTCCACTCGAAGTGTATTTTTATCGCTTGGAGGAAAGTGCACTAATATAGACATGAGCTTGATTGGCTTTACATGACATGACCTAGTGGGCACGGTGCAATAAGTGTTATGGCGATACCTCCACCAACGAGGATGGCAGCTGTTCTTGATTCTACCTGAGTCCATTCCCAGGTTTCTTTCCACCACTGCGCAACAATAAAAAGGTTCAGGTGAAACGCATTCGTGGTGAGCACAGTCCCTCCTGCCCCAATCTGATCGCACACAATCGCACATTTTCGTGGGGGCCTTCGTCTTCGGATTGGCGACGTGATTGCGTCAATCACGCCGGCCGCCTCATCGCAACGCGCGGCCTTTGCGACGTAAATTGACCAATAAATGCTCTTCGTTGGCCCCTACATTCCAGTCAGTGCAAAGGTGACACGAACCAGCGTCCTACACTAGCCCCTACCTCGCGCGACTCGCCTGATTGCGCGCTTCGACATCTGCATTTGGTCAATCGTTATACCGGGGTCCGGGGCTTGCTGATCTCACCCTTTGTGGTTTTTCCTCCAACCGTTTAAAATGCCTTTGAAATTATTCGAACCGTGTGCGAACTATCTCAACCCTACTTATCGGACAAAAAACAGTGTTCATCAGCAAACCCTGGGAAAGCAGGGGCTATTATCGAAGGCAGGAGGGCAGGCGACGATGTGACAGTACTGCACGGGGCAGGGTGCCACTACAAGTGCTGTATTGATCTTGAAGCTAGTGCATTGCATTTGCTCCTAAGCCGAACTAGCTAGCCAAGCCGCAACGCGCTCGAACAGCCGCAAAAAGACCGAGAAGACGCTTTTGCTGGTAATGTAGGACCTGGAGAAGGCTACCGTGAATCAATTCAATGATTTCTGGTCGAGGCGACTTCGATCAACGAGGGTCGGCCTATACGTTTGGAAATCGCACAATCCGTCTCACGGAGAACTTTTCTGAAGCTCACGAGCTACGACCCACCCAGCGCCGTTTATCGTAGCTCCACGTTTCAGCGGCCGCGCTGCTTACGCTCACCCAATTCTTCTTCTAGGTCAGCAAAAAGCCTCGCAATGCCGTGGCATTCGGTCCGTTCGTCGCATTCAGCCTGCTCGACGACGGCGCGTGTAGCAACCCTCGTTATAGCGGCGCTCGCGCACGTGTCGCTGCGCGCCGACGCGTCGATACAGGACCTCGTGACGGCGGCCGGCACGGGGTCACAGGGTTTCGGCTTCACGGGGAAAGCCACTGCCACTTACTACGGCGGCGGGCTCGACGGTACGTCTGGTTGGCTGTTACTAGAAGAAAAACAGGAGAGACTGCGACGATATTTTATTACCAGCATTCCATATCCCGTGAAGACTCATCGGATGAGCACGTTCATCCGTTTACGGCGGCAGTGGTAGTAGCCTACGGCACGTCCATGTATTCATAACTTACGGCGGCGGTATCGACGGTAGGTGTATCGCATCGCACCCAGTGGCCCGTATGCTCTTCACAACCCCTGGTTCAATCCACCGCCGACAGCGGTGGCTTCGGCGCGCTGCGTCGCGTTCCGCGTCGGATGGCAGCAACTCCGACAACGCGGTGATCCCTTAACAAATGAGAGTTGTCTTTTGGTCTACATTGCTGCTGTCTGTTGCCACGTGGTGCGTGCAGGCGGCAACTGCAAGTACGGCAATATTCTGGCGGGGGGGTACGGCCCCTTGTCCGCAGGCGAGTTCTGAGATGTTTCAAACATGCCATAATCTCTCTCTCTCTCGATCGCCCATGTCTCCCCCAATTCCTCGTGGTGCGTGCAGGCGGCAACTGCGGGTTCGGCAACATCCTGGCGGCGGGGTATGGCCCCTTGACTGCGGCCGGCAGTGTGATGCTTTACAAGGACGGCCACGGATGTGGCAGCTGCTACAGGTGGGATTGGTGCTACATTCGCAATTGCAAGAGGCGTGTGGGCGGTTTCACAGTGACCACACATCCCCTTCTTCCCAGTGATCAACCTTAAAAGACCTATGCACACCCTTCTTTTCCCCAACGGCAGAGTCCGGTGTGTGGACAGCCCCTACTGCAAGAAGGGCGTGAGCGTGACCGTGACCATCGCGGACCAGTGCCCTGCGGGAGGGGGATGGTGCTGCCCCTCGTGTGTGCACTTCGACCTCAATATGGCCTCTTTTAACCTCATTGCGGAGCAAGTTGCGGGGCACATACCCCTCGTGTACACCAGGTAACCACCCATCCGTGTAACCCCACTGCCTCTAACATATGTGGATAGCAGTACGCTTATGCTGCCCCACGTGTGTGCACTTCGACCTCAATACCAACCTCATTGCGGAGCTAGTCGCGGGGCACATACCGGTACCCCTCGTGTACAGCAGGTAACCACCCCCGTCCATGCAACCAACCACCTGGGTAACCCTAGTATGACAGCGTATGTGGGCAGTGTATAGGAGCAGAGCAGACCCGTGCAGGCGGGTGGTGCTGCCCCACCGTGTACACTTCGACCTGCCCATGCCCGCTTTCACCCTCATCGCTGAGCAAGTTGCAGGGCACATACCCTTCGTGTACACCAGGTAACCACTCATATGGTATCCACATCCGTGCCATATGTGGATGGTTGCAGGCCCAATCTGCTTGTGCCACGTGTGACCCCATTGCCACCGTCTTACTCCCCACCACTGCGTACATGCAGCATCGGCCACATGCAGGGTGTCCTGTGCTTTCAACCACAGCATCCGCCGCACGCCCACCGGCTCTGATTTCTGGATCAACCTGTTCGTGCCACCATGCAACCCCCTGTACTTACTCCACTCTCCCACGCCTACCCCATCGCCTACCTGCAGGGTTCCATGTGCTTTCAACCGCAACATCCGCCTCACGCCCACCGGTTCCGATTTCTGGATCAACCTGCTTGTGCGCAACGTGGCGGGCCCCGGTGACCTGGCATCCGTCCACGTGGCAGAAGCAGGATCCGCCACGTGGAAGCCCATGGAACACGACTGGGGAGCTGTGTGGGTGCACCGGACATGCCTCAAGTCGCCTCTAAGGTTCCGACTTACCTCCTTAATGGACGGGCAGGTGGTGGAAACGCCTGGCCCGTGTCTCCCTGCGGGGTGGGTAGCAGGAAAGGACTACGATTGTCAAGTGCAGTTCTCTGGAGGAGGGGGAGGGGGAGGAGGGGGAGCAAAAGGAGGAGGGGGAGGCGGAGGCGTAGGCGGTTGGGGAGGTGGTGGAGGTGGGGGGAATGGGGGCGGGGGCAACAGCACAGGGGGGAATAATGGGTGGAGCGGCGGAGGGGAGAGTGAGGGGAATTCAGGAATTCTCCCACCTAAGAACATGAAGACCCCTCCTCCTAAGGGTGCTGCTCCTCCAAAGAAGGTCCCTCCTGGTTCCGGGCAGCCGAATAAGGGGAATCCAAAAAATAGCCCTCCCTCTTCAGGGCAGCTGAATAAAGGGAGTCCGAAAAAGGGTTCCCCACCTTCCGGGCAGCCAAATAATGGGAACTTTAAGAAGCTCCCTCCATCTTCAGGGCAGCCAAATAATGGGAGCCCAAAGAAACCCCTCCCTCCTTCAGGGAAGGTGAACAATGGGACCAAGGCGAAAAAAGGGAGTCCAAAAAAGACCCCTCCTGCTCCAGGAACACCCAAGAATGGGACAACGGCTAACAGCCCTCCAAAAAAGACCCCTCCTGCTCCAGGAACACCCAAGAATGGGACAACGGCTAACAGCCCTCCAAAAAAGACCCCTCTCTTCCCTGGGAAGACGAAGAATGGTACAATGACTCCTTCCCCTCCAAGTTCAGGTGCTCCCTTACCAGGGAAGGTGAAAGATGGTGGCAAAAGTAATGGTTCTAGCCCTCCTAAGAAAGGCCCACCATCACCTTCGAAGATGGGCAGTGGGACGAAGACACCCAACCCGCCGTCGACAAACTCGTTATTTCCTGGGAAGGCTGGAAGTGGGGGGTAAGGGCGTATTCCTACGGCCTCCTATCAAGAAACCTCCTATCAAGATTGTACCTTTTGCCTGGTAAAAGTAGCGAGAGATTTTGGGTTTAGGGAATTTTCCAGTGAGAGCTTGATAGGAGGTTTTCTTGATAGGAGGATAGGAATACGCCCGAGCTTGATAGGAGGTTTTCTTGATAGGAGGATAGGAATACGCCCTAAGAGTAATGGTATAGTAGGTGCTGCTGCAAGGGGCGGTAAAGGAGGGATTGGGGCATCGGCAGGTGGAGGGCTTACAACAAGGAGCTCATTGCAACACAGCATCATCTGCTCAGGATAACTTGTCTGGCGAAGGAAAAAAATGGAACACGCACGCTAGGTGTTCCCTTGACACCAAGTGCAGCCAGGGAGGGATGATAAAGGAGAAAGCCGCATGTAGGTATCGTAGCTTGTTATTGCTAGGGAAATAAATTACGGTACCTAGGATTATCATCAATTGCCAAGCTTTGTAGTTAGGTGTTTTGAGTGCTAGGATATCCTGGCGCCATATTTAATCTGTATCCTTACCGTATAACGAACGAAATCTCTAAGGATGAAAAAAATTGTACACCCATCGCAAGAGGGAGGTAAATACGATGCCTGGTCGGTTCCTTGTTGGGGTGGGGGAGATCCCCAACCCAATCCCGAAAGTTGTGAAATCCCAAGATGCGGCTGCTTGAGTCGGTTCCCAAGAAATGCTTGGCAACTCGCGAAGTACTTACGGAAACCTGGGTACCTAAGAAATGCATGTGACATCCCATAGGTGATTCGCGAAGTACTTACGGAAACCTGGGAACTAAGAAATGCATGTGAGTCGCAAAGTACTTACGGATACCTGGGCATGTCACTTACTTACGATGTGACTCGCGAAGTACTTACGGAAACCTAAGAAATCCCATCTCTGGGGCATGTCACATGCATTTTCGTGAACTACGCAGTCATCCCACCATTTCTCAAACCTTGACTGCTCCCCTGGCACCCCCCTTCCTCTCCTTTCGTCTCTGCTCTCTCACCTCCACCCTGGTTACTGGTCCCTTTCACCCTTGACTCTGCTTCTTCCTTTCGTCATTCTCTGTGCTGCTTTCTCTTGACCAAACCGATCCGTGTCGTTTGAGCTTGATTTCTGAGAATTCTCGAAAGCTTGATTTTGTACACCAGACCAGATATTTCATTCTAGAACTTATTCACCCGTTTCTGTTGGAGTCTAGGCCATGGTTGCAGTCTCGACTTGAACACGTAAGGATTTACTAGTTGCGTCCGAATGAAGCATTAATTTCTGCACGTTAACCCCCTTGGTACCGCCCAGATCAGCTTTAGTAGCCGACTGTCATAGAGCCCTCAGAGCCATTGACAGTGGACGTTAGGGCTGTCAGGTTGCGGTTTTCACGATTCCCCAGAGATCCGAATGCGCGGCAAGCCAAATTCGCTAGTAAGAGCATCGACATAGCGGGTAGGCTGAATGTTCTCCCAGCCATTGCGCATAAGATCGCCGCCTAACCGTTCCTCGGATCGCAAGCAGTCCTCATGGCTCTCTAGCCGTTTCACCGGCTTCGCGGGCTCCGCTGGGAGGCCAGTAGCAGAAGGAGGAGTACGAAGCGAATCTGTTTCTGCTGGTAACCCGAAGTCTCCCCTTTCGCGCGGAGGCCGATCGCCCGCGGGCTCTAAGCTTCCGAGGAGTAAGGCCAGCCTCAGCGACGATGACGGCTCTTCGTTTGAGTCACCTTCGGCAAGATCACCCTCATCCCCCACACCGCGCTCCCCGTCCCTCGGCAATCCGCGCGCGTCCGCGTCGGGAGCGGCGAAACTCTTGCCGCATATACCGCCGCCTTCGCACGGATGGACCAATCACCGAGGTGGATTCAGCGTCATAGGGAATACCGGTGGCTTTGCCGCCACCACCAGCAGCAGCACCAGCAAGGGCGTGAGCGCAAGAAGCCGCAAAGGCGGCGGATATGGGGGAGATTCCGCCTCTGGGGGAATGTCGCCAGGGCCTAGTAGCACGTGGAGGCGCGCGGGTGGTAGCGGTGGCAGTAGCGGCAGCAGCGTCGGCTCTCGTTTGCAGAACATTCTTCTCGTTATAATCCTCTTCCTGTGATTCCAACTTCGCCGGTCACTATTACCCGTTCCTCTGGTCCCCCGCCGCGCGCGCTTCCGCCGTCCAATCCCTGCTCGCCACGCGGCAGCACCTGCCGGATATCCGGACGGGGCGAGGGGAGCGGGGGGGCGTGGGGGACGAGAGGAACAGCGGCGGAAGCATGATTCTGAGCGAGGAAGGCCGGAGGAGCATCATGGCGCTAGCAGCGGCGGACGGGCTGCGGGAAGGGGAGATCAGCGCGCAGCGGTTGGGCGGGGGGTTGGGCGGAACGAACGGCGCGGGGGGAGGGGTTCCGCGGCGGCCGTGGCAGTCGCGGTTCGTGCAGGACGTGCGGATAGACGTGGGCGGCGAGGCGATGTGTGCTGACATTGTGCCGGATGAGTTTAGAGAATCCACAGACCGCATGTGAGTCGGAGGTGATTTTTGAGTCCACAGACCGAAAATAAATCACCTCAGGATGTGCGGATAAACGTGGGCGGCGAGGCACTGTGTGCTGACATTGTGCCTCATGAGTTAATCCACCGACGGAATGTGAGTCATACTTTTCTGAGACTCCGCGTTTTTTTTATTTTCACTGGCAAATGTGAACCGCACTTCCTCTCTCCGCTTTTAGCAGGCGCCGGTTGCCTGAATCTCTTCCTCACCCTTTCTCCCCTCCTTCCTCAACTTCTCAGCCCCAACTCTCTCTTTCCCTCTTCCCCCCACCCACCTATTCTTTCTTCCATTCCCCTCTCTTTTTCCCCCCATCCCAGGCCTCCAATCACCTCCTTGCTCGATCTCCTCCGCCCCAACGAGCGCTTCCTCCCCTTCCTCCCGCGCCACAGCCTTGAGAACTCCTCACCTCACGTTCCCTCTTCCTTCTTCCTTCCCCTTCCCTCTTCACCCCCATCCCAGGCCTCCAGTCACCTCCCTGCTCGACCTGCTCCGCCCCAACGAGCGCTTTCTCGCCTTCCTCCCACGCCACGGCCTTGGGAACTCCTCACCTCACTTTCCCTCTTCCTTCTTCCTTCCCCTTCCCCCTTCACCCCCATCCCAGGCCTCCAGTCACCTCCCTGCTCGACCTGCTCCGCCCCAACGAGCGCTTTCTCGCCTTCCTCCCGCGCCACGGCCTTGGGAACTCCCTGCGCGGGTTCGTCTCTGCGTTCGTCTACGCCAGCCTGGCGGGGCGGCGGCTGGTGCGCCTGCACGCGGGGGAGCACGCGCGGGTGTATGACCTGCTCTGTCAGGCGTATGGGTGTAGCTCTGATGCGGTTGGGCAGCCGGGAGGGGTGGATCGCGGTGGGGAGGAGGATGGGAGTGGTGGGGATGGTGGGGATGGGGAGGGCGAGGATGGGGAAGTGGGAGGTGGGGGAGAGAGGAGGAGTGTGGGAGGAGGAGGGGGGGGGGATGGAAGGGATGGGGGAGAGGCAGGGGCAAGAGAGGGAGGAGGAGGAGTCTGGGAGGGGAGGGGGGCGCGGAGGGGGTTGAAGGGGGATGGGGGGGCGGAAGGAGCGGTGGAGGTAGTGAAGAGTGCGAGTGAGGGGCGCAGTGGCACGGGGGTTGAATTGTTGCGGAAATTTGCCATGCTGCGACCCATCTACTTCCTGGAGAGATACCAGAACGTTCAAAGTGAGGTGCAATCGGGGGTGGTTGGTTGGGGGAAAGGTGGGGAATCATGAGGGGCGCAGTGGGACGGGCATTGAACTGCTGTGCAATTTTTCCATGCTGCGACCCATCTACTTCCTGGAGAGATACCAGAACGTTCAAAGTGAGGTGCTTTCCAGGGGAGGTGGAGGGTGGGGTGTGGGGTTTTTAAGGGGAGGTGCATTCATCATTGGAGGGGTAGTGTTGTGCAAGTTTGCCATGCTGCGACCCATCTACTTCCTGAGAGATAACAGAACCTTCAAAGTAAGGTGCTTTCAAGGCGGACAGGGGGGCAGGGGGAGAGAGGCGGAGGGTTTTGAGGTCCATTTTAACCCCACCCAACCCTTATGTCCACCCTACCCCAACCCATCCCACTGCATCCCACCCCACACCAGCCATAGCAGCATCACTGCAGTCAGACTACCCGGTCCTCGCCACGCGCAGCGGCACCCTCTTTGACCTCTTTCTGGCACCGCAGCGACCGCCCTTCACTCAGCCTACCCCACCCCATCCACCCTACCCCGCCCCATCTCACCCTTCCCCACCCCACCCCACCCCACCCCACCCCCCCACACCCCACACCCCACACCCCCAGCCATAGCAGCGTCACTGCAGTCAGACTACCCGGTGCTCGCCACGCGCAGCGGCACCCTCTTTGACCTCTTCTGGCACCGCAGCGATCGCCTGCGCTCCTGCGTCTTTGCCGCCTTCCACTGCTCGTGAGTCGTCCTCCCGTTCTCCCTCCTGTGTCTTGGTTGCCTTCCTCTGCGCATGAGTCAATTAATCACGCTTGGGTGTTGCATTCTGTTTTACTGCTCGTGAGTGAGTCGCCCTCTGTTACGCAATGGCACCCTCTTTTTCCTCTTCTGGCACCGCTATGGACCACCTGCGCTGCACCCCTGCATCTTTGCAGCTATCCATTGCTCGCGAGTCACTTTCTGTTCCACTGCTCAATGCCACTGCATTTACACTGCCCTCTGTTCCGGCCCCCTCCCCACCGGTGCTGCTGTTTGTACCATTGTCACCCCTCCTCTCATCCTCCCCATCATCTTTCCCATCATCCTCGAATCGCCTTCATCCACACCCACCTTTGCCCCCATTCTTCTTTCAGGTCCGTGTGGTGTGTCATTCCCGCGCCATGTTCGACTTTCTCTCCCGCACTGGCCCCACTACAGCCCTCACCTCCACCATCTCTTCTGTCCTGCGCCGCGTGCCTCATAACAGCAGCAGTGAGGGCAGAAAAAAACAGCAGTAGCGGCAGGGAAAGC